CCAAAATACTGGGTAATACCAAAATTTTGATTGTACTAACAAAGGAGATGTTGAATAAAGAAACTTGAAATAAACCGCTTGAAAAAAACAAAACAGTTTTTCCTTTTCCCTTGTTTTGGCTGGAAAACAAATCAGAAGTCGAAATGCAATCTTTTTTATAATAACAAATGAACCAAAATGCAACAAATGACATGAACAGGCAATACCCAGCACAAAAAGAAAAAGGAAGTCCAGTTCTGGTGACTATCCAACCTGAATCCGTGCTTGAATAGAACTTTTCAACGCTGCATTTCCTTTGATATCAAAAAACATTCGAGAAATTAACAAGTTCCAGCAGAGCGTCCCTTCATCAAAACTAAACTTTTCTTGTTCTGAATCAGCATCAGAAGCAACAGAAGCACTTTGACTAACTGTACAAGGAAAACCTTGCTGTAATGGAAATGTCATATTTTCTTCGGTCGAATTGTTTGGTACTTTCTTTGTCACTGAATCTTGGAATGGATGCTGTTTCTCACAAGTCTTTCTATCTTCACGGGCAGTTTGAGATGTCCAAATTCCCTTATTTTCCATACCAGGCTTTATGGCCTTTTTGGAAAGCTTTCTCCAAAATAATCTAACTTTTGATGAAGATCCATCAAATTTACCTCCCTTATCCATTGGCTCAGCACTGAAACCTAAAGAGGGTTTCATAAACGACGGATATCCAGCATTTAAAGATGCTAAGTAAGCACGAAAGTCTTCATTCAGCTTAGCAAACAAGCTCAGCTTTTCTTTATCCTCAAATGAAGCAAGACGAAGAGATTGGCACCATGATGCCTTCTCCCAAGAAGTCTCCAGATAAAGGTAAATTGTTTTACTTCCATTGTAGATGGGTGAAGTTTTGCTTTCCACTCTTATTGGAAATCTCTTGGTCCTATCAAAAACATTCATACAAAGGCAAATGAATGAAACAAAGACAAATATTTTGAAAGTGCATAACTTGGACCAACTCTGATTAAGCTATATCATATCAGAATTGTATTGTATGATCCGAAGGCAACAAACTAACCAAGACTGGCATCTATATGCTTAATTCTTAAGAACTACAAAAGCTTGATTGAAAACCCAAAACTTGAACTTACAACTTGAAGCAAAAAGATGAGATGAGGCAGATAGGCTTCAGAGTTGAGACTGAAGTAAGAATCATTGTCGTAAATACATGAACATTGAACAATGAAGCAAGAAAGAAGAGTGAAAGAAAGGGGCAGAATACCATTTTCTTGAGGGTAAATTGGTTGCGGAAACAGCCTCAATGATGCAGCCCTTAAGGGGAATAGTAGTAGTGCGGGAAGCATCAGAATGTATGAAAACCAAGTTGTTTTCCTGGATTTTAGCATGTTTTCGGGTAGGGGAAACCTCCAAGGGCGAGTCCTTTTTTCGCTTCTGCTCCCTGGGTGTTGGAGCTTTTTCTGATTCAAGAACCCAAACAGTCCCCTAACACAAAACAAGATGCAAGCAAGTTCAAATTTCAGCAAGAAAATATACGAAAGATGGGAGCAAAGTACAAACCTGCTTGTTGTAAGCGAAATCGAGGGGAGGTTGAGACTGGGGATTCGAGGCAGCAAGAGATTCTCGTTTGATCCTTCGATTCAATCGATTTAACACGAACAACAATCCCACCAGTTCCAGACTCACAACTGCTAGCACTCCAACAACCAACCCAACGAAGAACACACTCCACATCTTTCTTTTGGTTCGATTCAACTATTGGGAAGAACGAACGGACAGACACTATTTCTTTTAAAACCGTTTATTCTTTTCTTTTCTTTTCCTTTCTTATTCTTCCTTTTTCTTTCTTGCGTAGGCGGTAACTTGTTCCGAAAAATACTTAAAACTAAATTCCCTTTATAATTAAATTCGAAAGGAATTTGCTTTTTCACATTCCCCTTGTTATAGATCCAGTAACACAAACTTTTATCTCAAGTGGATAATATTTATATATCTCATAGTAAAATTTAAATGAATGTCATGTGCAAATTCTTTTTAAATGAATGATATATTTTATCTAAAAATATATTTATAAAATTAATTTAACTAATGATTACAAGTTAACTAATAAAAAAAATTAGATATATATATTTATAGTCTTGTGTTAGCTCTTCAAGTATTGAATCTACAAATATATGTATCTCTGTAATAATATTAATTTTAACTTAAAACCTTTAATTAATAATTTTTCAATTCAATTAATCTTTAAGTAATCCATAACTCCGAATTCAAGTAGATCTACAAAAGTTATTATAAAATTTAATTTTATTAGTTTTAAATTTTTATATATTAATTTAATTAATAAAATAGCAATTACAATCCAATATGAATAACACAATATTAAGTTATTATACTTGACACGATAGTGTAAAATAAATATTTTACGTATGAAAAAGATATTTATAAAATATTTTAACGAATGGTCATTGATTGTTGGTGTGGTGATAAACAAATTATATATATATCACCACACCAACAATATATATTACTTTTGTCATCCAATCCAACCAACCGAATTAATCATCACATCAGTCACACTTGTGCTTTATACTGATAGCATTAAACTAATTTAAATATAAGATAAAAAAAAAGTTTACTTCGGACTTTGATGGATCTTCAACAATCGAAATTTACCTTTGAAGATATAAATGATGAAGAGGTCAAGAGGACAAGAACATATCTCAATTTGGATTCTATCAGACGACAAGCAGCGAAGATCATATAGTGAAAATTTAAAAAGTTGGTATAAGTAAATGCATCTCTCTTCATTTCCTTTATGATCAAATCATTACGGACAATGCTTTTACACCATTTTTAACTCTACTATATTCTGTTGAACTTTTCCACTATAACTAGTTCTTCTGCACACACACGTTTACCATTATGGAGTAATGAACATGCAAACTTGACGTATGCTTTTTTCTTTCTTTTAAATCCGACTTTAATTGCTCAACTTTTTTTGTTTGACCTTATGTGGTCTATCCAGGTCAAATTCCTAAAGCTTTCCGATGCCATTATAGTTTGCTGTAGTGCTACATTGTCAATACATGAATGGGGTGTCAAAATAATAGATCAAGGTTTGCTTGGTTGTTTTAAATACTATAATTCAATCATTTAATTGTCCCATCAAAGGTTTGCTCTTGGAGAAGCATAGCTAAGCAATGTCGGTGGTTTTTGTTTCCCCCATGCCGATTGGACGGTTGTCGGTGGTTTTTTGTCTTCGATATATGTATTTTTAAACGAATTGAAAGGGACATTACCTAGGTGGTGGTTCTTCCTCAATTATATTTAGTATTTGGTTAGGAGGATGCTTTGCCAAATGATGCAATTCAATTGTACACTGATATTCTTGAAGATGATGGAAAGGTACAGACGGCCTTTCATGTCTATCATGCTTCCACCAATATTCATGTAAAACTTGAAGATCGTGTAAACTAGCAAGTTGCCTACCGGTGATGTGGCTGAATTTAAGATAGGTGCTGCTAAAGCTGAGGGAAAAGTCAAAAGACAAGGTGTACATGGATGAATGCAAGATTTTATGTTATGAGCAAACTTATAAAATTTGAACACATATTACCGATAAAAGATATAAAAAATATCTAAAATATATGTGAATTTAAAATTTTCAGGGTCGACCACCTCTATCGGTCCATCCCTGAATGATTGAAAGTGTAGCTGCAAACCCAGAATAAGCAAGATGACCAGGCACGTTTTAGGAATTAAATAGGTACTAGAATTCAAGAAATCTTGCTACGGACACAATACTCACCACTACGACATAACTTCATACTTCAAGTTGAGAATAAACACGATATTGATGGATATTTCAATTAGGAAAATATCTTGCCTGATGGGAAAAGATTGGACTAACTAACATTTCACTTCACAGCCGGAGCAACAGCTTTTAATCATCTTCCCTCTCCGGAGGCAGACCACAAGGCAGAAGCATTTTCTGCACAATCAATATCAGAAGCAATTATACCTTGAACCTCATTTACCCATTCAATATATTAAACTTTAGTTTGTCACTTAGTAAGATGGTATAAATCAAGACTCATTGTTACAACTAACATAGACTGACCAGAAGACGACCAATACCGTAAAAAGAGAATGATTACCCAAATATTTTGATAAAAATAAACAGGTGGATACCATTTTGAAAAGCAATTAGTAGGTACAAAATGTATCCAAGAGTAAATACAAAGAAAACATCTAAAATATATAGGAATTTGAAATTTTCAGGAGGGTGCCCCCCTTGGCCTCATCCATGGCATAAGATAACACAGCTCATATATTTGTTAGAAAATCTAGGGCAAAGCGGCACCAATTTGCATTACAAAAATGTGTAGTTTCCTCTTAAGTATACCTCAAAAGGCAGAAAAAGAACATCACCAAGTTCCCCACTCGACAAAACACAAAAACGAAACATATCCCAACTATTGGCAATGGACAACATTAATCAAGTCCTATATTTTGTTCCATGTAAGGCAAACTTTAAACTCTTTTCAAGTAGTAAAAGCAATTGGTCTTGTGGAATACAAAGTAAACCATTATGAAACCCAACAAAAGCTTAGAGAAATCCCAAGAAACATTGGGTAAACCCATAAATCCAAATTCCATAAAATTATAAACCCATAAAATTCAGTCCAAATGTCACAGATACACAAACAAACGCCAGGCGGAAAGAAACATGAATATCATAAATCCAAAAACACGAAACTTAAGAAAAAAAAATGGCTTACCTGCATGAAGTTGTAGCGCTCTCTTCCAATGGATTCATTTTCAGCCACGGAAAAGTAAGCCAACATTGGGCAATGCCCTATATATGACGCGTAGCTATCTCGTTGAATGTTCACCGCCCATTCACTGTCATCAATAGAACCAAGGGAAAAAACATATATTATCAGCAAAAAATATTTTGTTCATTTAACAAAAGAGAATAAAAAAAGGATTAACAGACAATCTGCTAAGATCAGCATGGCCAGTTCCAACGTATTTGGCTTGGAGATGTTCGAGTTGGGAATTGATGTTAAACCTATCGCTTGCCTGACAACATTAATTAAAGAGTGAGGGACAAAAATAAAACCAAATTTACGGTTTAGGTGTTTGAGAATTAAAATTTGGTGGAATTTTTAAATTTAATCAATAAAGGGTTAGGGTTTTGATAGGGGAGACTTTACCTGCATCTTCTTTCTCGAAGCTCTTGAGAAAAATACAAGGAGCACGATAAAAATTCATCTTTATGTCCTGTGTGTGTACATATATATAAATGTACACCCACACCTCTATCTTAAGGGAAAGTCTTATTTATTTATTTTCACTCCAACTGTTATTTCTTCTAAAAATATCTCCCTATCAATCCTTTGTTGAATAATGAAGGTTCTAGTGGCGGATGTAGTCTTTGTTCAGGGTGAATATTGAAATTTAAATTTTTTATATTAGTAATTTATTTTATTGAGGGTGTCTATCTTGAAATTTTATTTATGTTTGGGATACAAAAAATTTATGTTATTAATATAGGAGTGCCCATCCTAAAAAATATTCATAGATCCGCCACGGTTCTATACATATTTTAAATTAAAATTAAAAACTAATTGATTGATTAAACCAAATATCATAATGAATAAAGTTTTACTCCCAAAATCATTAGGGTAAAATTATTTGTCCTTGGTTCTAAAACTCTTCTAAACCTCAATATTAATATAATTCACTTATTTACATATAATCTTTAATCAATCACGTATCATTATAATATAATAACATGTGTTACTAACAGAACTTGTATTAAGTGATCAAAATCAGATATAACTTCCATAATCATTTCGTTACTTTTTAAATCTGAATGAACAAAATAAAAATTTATGATGATTGGATGTCCAACCATGTTTTATTAATAGGTAACGATATATAAAACAAAAACAGAAGAAAATATCTTTTGTAATCATTTTATTATTGAAGAATCAAAATCATTTGGCCTGCTTAATGTCGATGCATCTATTTATAATATTAAAGACTATATACAGAATGTTATATATAAGCATAGAAGGGTAATGAGAGAGAGAGAGAGAGAGGAGAGCAGAGAAGACACGACAATACTTGATACACATTCAGTCAGCTCCCGTGGCTAAACTACATACATGTGAACATTACGTCACTTTCGCAAATTATGCCGTATACGACGATCAATATAAATGACACTTTCAATCTCTCTCGTACACAATGTACAACATCACATTTCCCTACCTCATCATGAACGGATAATGGACAAATGTTAATGATTTCCATTTTCAACACCATATACACAACTAATTGCCCTGCAATAATAACCATGTTTGTTTCCATTCTCCTCAAATGAAAGCCAAAAATAACAATAAAAGCCAACATCGGATCATTTCTTGTCGGTCGTTATGCCAACCACCACATTGCTCACCTGCAATATCACGAGTTTCTGTCAGGCATCCCTCTTTCTTCCCCAACCATGTTGCAACTTTCTATACAATAAAAATTCATGACATTCAAGCAAACACAAAGTAGATATATGCAGTTACACTAATATTTACCAATTTGCCACTCTCATCGACAGACGTGGGATTCTCAATGACGACTGTTTGGCTCTGAGAAGAGGCATTGGTCAAAAGGTTAGATTCAGGTAGCAGTCAATAACTCGAAACCATCTACATTTTAAAGGAAAAGAAAGCTTCAATAACTTACTGCAAAAGTAGATGGTTTAGTCCCTGTAGCATTCGTCCTGCTTGCTGGAAGCGAAACCCTTACATTGCCCATCTGAAACATAGATGACAAATACAGTGAGCAGGTAAACCAAAAAATAGAGGTTCTCTAGACATAAATGTATATACACTGTCTCACACAACGCAATTCACTTTCAAAAATATTATCGCATGGACATAAATAGGTACTCGTCTTTCTAATTAAATACAATGCAATTCACTTTCAAAAAGGGAAATCATACAAAAAAAAGGCTTACAAGAATCAACATGAAAAATTAGACAAAGAGAAGTCATTTTTTTTTATAAGATTTGAAGGCCTCGTTAAAAATCTCCTTTAGGATTAATGGAGCTTGTATAGAAGCTCCTTAATCAATGGAAGGAGGAAAAGAGTGCCTTATATTTCATTAGAAAATAACAATTAAAACCATGGAAAATAAATCCAAATAACCCTTACAACAATAAGCAAACCCCAACCTAACAGAAACCAAAAACCATCTGCTAAAGCAAAAACCATGTTAGATGTTAGCTGTCCTGCAACCCATCTAACAACCCCCCCAAAATTCTAAGACTATCAACTATGTCTGTAACAATAAAACCATATACAACTGGACATGAATCAACATCATTGATCCAGTCTACTGCAACCCTGCTATCACTCTCAACAATCAGCCTATCTTTGAACCTCCCTTGAAAAGAGGCAAAGAAAGAAATGCCCCTTTTAATAGCTTTAAGTTCCTTCAAAGTCGGAGGTCCCGAACCAGCAGGCTCCTGAAAAGAACCTAGGATTACACCAGAATGATCCCTCAAAAGACCTCCAAGACCTGATTTCTTCCAATCACTACTAATGGCTGCATCCACATTCAATTTAATGAAACTCATGGGGGGAGGTGACCAAGGGATTGTAGAAGACTTTACGAAATTATAGGTCGAATAAGAATCCCCTAAAGAATGATCAAAAATCAACGAGTCCTTAGGGATAGAAATATCCTTATGCTTAGCTAGGAACCAAGAAGCAAGCCTAACTCTTGTTAAGAAAAACAACTCTGTCAGATCAAGCTTCCCTCCTTCAAAAACAATAGAATTTTGGTTTTCCAAATGGTCCAAATAACAGCCCCAGGAATGAAAGTCCAAATCGCAGAATTAGATTTCAACTCGTCCCACGCTAGAAGAAAGGTTTTTGCATCTGCAGAAAAAACAGAACTGAACCTCCATAATTTTAGAAATTTGTTCCATATAGACCACGACACCGAACAATTAAAGAATAAATGTGAGGAAGTTTCTTCAACCATTCTGCAAAGAGGGCATAGAACATCCTCAATACCTTGAACACCTCTTTTAACCAATTCTGATTTAACAACTAATTTATGGAGCACAACTTGCCACATTAAAGTTTCAGCTCTAGGGGGAACCAATCCTCTCCAAACGATATTATTCCAGAAATGAGCAGCTTCTGAACCTGATGTACATCTCTTGACACAAGAACTTACTGTAAAAACACCATCCCCACTGCCTTTCCAAATCAACCCATCACTGGAATCATTAGACAGAGAAAAAGAAGAAATTATGCTCACCAGATTACACCATTATTCAAGCTCCCAATCATTTAAGTTTCTTCTTACTTGGACATCCCAAATCCAACCCGATGAGAGAAATTCTCCAAACTCACAAAGCTTACCATATTTATTAGTAGAAAGGCAAAACAGTCTAGGGAACAAAATCTGGAACGGATAATCAGCAGCCCAACTATCCTGCCAAAATCTAATATTCTTACCATTTCCAACATGAAAGCTGCACAAACTACGAAACTTAGAACCTTATGCTCACCAGATTACACCATTATTCAAGCTCCCAATCATTTAAGTTTCTTCTTACTTGGACATTCCAAATCCAACCCGATGAGAGAAATTCTCCAAACTCACAAAGCTTACCATATTTATTAGTAGAAAGGCAAAACAGTCTAGGGAACAAAATCTGGAACGGATAATCAGCAGCCCAACTATCCTGCCAAAATCTAATATTCTTACCATTTCCAACATGAAAGCTGCACAAACTACGAAACTTAGAACCAAAGGAGTCTTGCTTGTAATAGTCGTTAACCACTGTTCTCCATAACCAGGAAGATTTAGGTGGAACCTTGCTATCAAACAGTAATCTTGTTGAATCAATGTTGTATTTGTTGCATATAAATTCCCTCCAAACAGAACTTCTCTCATTTGCGAACCTCCAAGATCATTTCCCTATCAGTGCTCTATTCATACTCAACAGATTTCGGACTCCCAAGCCTCCCTCATTCTTTGGTCTGCAAACATCATCCCATTTAACCCAGTGTATCTTCTTAATACCAATTCTCCCTCCCCATAAAAAATTAGACATAATTGAGTTAAGAGACTTTAGGATTGAAGCTGTAATCTTGAACATAGACAAATAATACGTTGGTAGAGAGGATAGAACCGATTTGATTAAAACTAGTCTGCCTGCTAATGACAGAGTAGCAGCCTTCCAACCGACTAATTTAGAGTGAAAATTCTGCACCACTGGTTCCCAAATGACTAAGGAGTTCTTAGGAGCACCTAGTGGGAGACCTAGATAGTTAGAGGGGAAGTTTCCAACCGTACAACCAATAGAGTCTGCCCAAGTCTTAACCTCCTATTGGGAAATGTTAAGCCCGAACAATATGCTTTTCTTCAGGTTTAATTGCAGCCCTGACATAACCTCAAATACCCTAAGCACCATCTTCACATTCATAATTTGCGTCTTTGAAGCTCCACAAAAAATAATTAGGTCATCCGCAAACTGCAAGTGTGTAAGATTAAAGGAACCTTCCCCCTTGCCAACAGTCATACCAGCAAATAATCCCTCCGAGACAACCCTTCGGATTAACACATTCAACAATTCCCCAACTAGATTAAATAACAAAGGTGAGAGTGAACATTCCTGTCTAAGACCCTTGGCCATTGGAAACTCCTCGGATGGAACCCCATTTACTAACACTGAAATCTAAGCTGTAGAAACACATCTCTTGATCCAACTTATCCAAGTAGAACCGAAACCCATATTTTCCATCACCTTGAACAAAATAGGCCAGTCTACCGTATCATAAGCCTTTTTGAAATCAACTTTAAACACATAACCCTTAAGCCCTTTCTTCCTCCAATAATCAATACCATCGTTAGCAATGAGAGAGCAATCCAAAATTTGTTGTCCGGGAACAAAAACAAATTGTGTCGGGCTGATTATATCTCCTATACAACTTCTGAGCCTCCTGGAAAGACACTTAGATAAAATCTTATAAACTCCTCCTACTAGACTTATAGGTCTATAATCATCAAGGCTTCCAATGTTAGATCCCTTAGGAATAAGGGTGATAAAAGTGTGGTTAATGCCATGCTCCCAATCTTTCCCCACATAGAATCTGTGAAAAAACTGCATA